GCCAGGGGTGGCCAACTGTATCCACAAAGGGCTGGTGTGTATGCAGGATTTCGTTGCAACTCCCTAATTAAAGGACTGATTGGCCGAAGAGTCCTCACATCTGGGTTTGAACAGCTGACCTAAAGGTTATCCCAAAAACCCGCATACACACCAGCCCTTTGTGGATACGATTGGCCACCCCTGGCTTAGGCCACTGAGGCAAACACTGTCTTTAACAAAAATGCACAAATATTTATATGATAAATTTATGCAGAATTAACAAAGGACAGACATTGGTCATTGTCACAAACTCATTACCAAACTATATTCATTCATATTCTAAAAAATAGAGAAAAACACACACTCAAATTATTCAACTTAATTGTCTAAACTATCAATATCACTTCTAGGATGAACGGTTTTACCATTTATTTCTGTAATACACAAGTATTTCATGACATCCAGTGCAACTGACTTGAAAAAAATAAAGGCCAACTAAGATGAAGACAAAACAGAAAATGACAAAGCAAAAATATACATCTTGTGAAACAAATTGTGAGATTCAAAACAGCTTATGTATTCATGATAATGATTTTTGGCTGCCTATTTGGAGAAAATTAAATAAATCAGACCAACAAGTGGCAAACTATTAATACACCTAAAAAGGCAAGGTACTGCTCTACACAACAGACCTAAATTTCACCGTAATATATTTTTATTCTGAAAGTTCACCAGAATGACCCATATTGTAATATTTAATGGTTTAACTTGTAAATAAGTACAAGCATAACTGCTTTCAAAAAGGCTTGAGAAATGGCAAAAAGAAAAGAAAGGACTGGTTCTGCAGATCCAGACATTTGTCAGCGCAAATTCCATGGCAGAGTGATCATATGACTGTGGAGCCCTTGAACAAGGCTTTAATCCCCAAAGTATCGGATGAATAGATGTCAGGTTTCCTAAACTTAATCCTTCAGTCACAATCATTTACAGAGCCCACCCCCCAAAAAAAAGCCTGTAAAGAATACAGTGGAAACTGCTCATAGTGATCACTGTTATAGTAATCAACTGCTTATATTGGGACAAAATCACTCCTGTACAAGCACTGTTTAAAGTAGTCCACTTACAGTGATCGTTTTGTGGTTTGTTTTATACATTACAACTTATGGGGGAAAAATTTTAAACGGTAACGGTAATTCTTTTTTACTTTAATATGTTAGTCTTGCGGTGATTCATCTGCTTCTAGGTAGCTACATAAGGCTAATGCTGCATGCACAGAAAACATAACGAGGAAATTGAAAATCATTTTCTCTGAATGATGAATATAGACTCAAAGCTTATGATTAACTGCCAAAAACGAGTTAAAAAGATGCAGCAGCAAAACTACAATAAGCTACATTTTATGTACAGTTCTGTATGGTATCATAGTATTTGAATTATACACAGTTCAGTAAAGTCATACAGTACTGTAATTAGACACACCACAGGCAATTCAAATGTTGATTTTGAAAAAGTCAAAATTCAGTAAATAGTGATGCTGTCTGTTTTATCTGAAATTCATGTAACAAATATACAAATGTCAAATAGATGGTAAAATACCGGAGACAAAGAAAAATCTGTTATAAAGATTTGCTTAAAGTGATCAATTTCACCCAGAGAGACGTGATCACTTTAAGCGGTTTCCACTGAATTTTGGGCACTACATATGTTAAATAGGTAGTTTAAAGTCTATCGCAATTGTTACTTTACACATCGCTCTAAACCAAAAATTCAAATTATTTGATAAAATTGGTTTATTGCTCTACTCTACAGCCAAGTACAGTATCTTCCTTAAACCTAATCCTTTGACCCTATAACATACTATTCCAGTCAATATCCCAATTAAAAAGCTTTAACTATTAAATGAGTCACACAAGCTTAATTACATGTACTCAAATGTCACTGAATAGACTAGTGAAATTTTTCTTTAGGTTTCCTAAATGGCTGAAGCCCCTCCCACACTGGGAGCACTGGTAGGGCCACTCCCCTTTGTGAATTCGTTGGTGTCTCTTTAGGTCTCCTAAATGGCTGAAGCTCTTCCCACACTGAGAGCACTGGTAGGGCCTGTCTCCTGTGTGAATTCGTTGGCGTATCTTGAGGTCTCCTAAATGGCTGAAGCCCTTCCCACACTGGGAGCACTGGTAGGTCCTCTCCCCTGTGTGAATTCATTGGTGTCTCTTGAGGTGTCCTGAATCACTAAAGCTCTTCCCACACTGGGAGCACTAGTAGGGCTTCTCCCCTGTGTGAATTCGTTGATGTTTCTTGAGGCTTCCTGACTCACTAAAGCTCTTCCCACACTGGGAGCACTGGTAGGGCCTCTCCCCTGTGTGAATCCGCTCGTGTTTCTTTAGGTTTCCTAAATGGCTGAAGCCCCTCCCACACTGGGAGCACTGGTAGGGCCACTCCCCTTTGTGAATTTGTTGATGTTTCTTGAGGTTTCCTGATTCACTAAAGCTCTTCCCACACTGGGAGCACTCGTAGGGCCTCTCCCCTGTGTGAATTCGTTGGTGTCTCTTGAGGCTTCCTGACTCACTAAAGCTCTTCCCACACTGGGAGCACTGGTAGGGCCTCTCCTCTGTGTGAATCCGCTTGTGTTTCTTTAGGTTTCCTAAATGGCTGAAGCCCCTCCCACACTGGGAGCACTGGTAGGGCCTCTCTCCTGTGTGAATTCGTTTGTAGGTGCTCTCGTTCGCAGTCCCTTCAACCTCAGATATCAGGTATTCCTTCTCCTCTTTTTTAACCTCTCCGACACCCTGCTGGGAAAGTTTCTGGTTTGTACAGCAGCTGGTTTTACTGCAGGAAGGCATCTGCTGAAACCAAAATGAAATTAAATTCAGTAAGACTGTGCCAGTTAATCAGTGTGCTGAAATGCACCGTAACCCTTAACCCCACCTAATAAAGTCACCTTGACAACAGCCATAAACATTAGTAACATTTTGTGTGTCATGTGACACACAGTCTCATACACACAGACTAAACAAGCACCTGACTTACAGTTCAGTCGAACTTATGGATATCAGGGGTGGATATACAACGACTGTTCCCCCTGTAGTCATGTCTATGTTAGGCAGATTGCGGCTTCTGAGCCAAGCTTTGCTGGCAAATCTCATGAGTTCATCGATGTGGTGCACCGTTTGGGAAAGGTGAGAAGCGAAAATGCTCTATCCTCCGGTCAAAAACCCCGAGGCATTATTCTACAGTTCACAATGCGTCACTTTCGCGACCAGTGTTGTCATCTTACTAGTTAAAAAGTAATTAGTCAGTTACAAATTACTTCTGCCAAAAAGTAATTGAGTTAGTAACT